TGTTGTCACACATACGAACCGAGCTACAAGTTTCTTTTGGAGAGTTAATAAATCACCATTTTTCTCCAGCAGCCTCTTCCCAACAGCGTGTGTGTGTTCTACATGCTGGAGACAAACAGGTCCCCAAGGCAGCCAGAGACTGGTTTGATGTCTTGGAACATTATGGATGGGGCCCAGTGGGAGGCTTAGAGCACACAAGACAAATCAGATGCCAACCCCCGAGGACCCCCCCGGGCCGGCCCAGCCTCGGCACAGACGGGGAGGAGGAGGAGGAGGAGGGTGGCAAAATTGATGCTGGGCAGCTACAGGCTGCAAACCTGTGCAGCACAGACAGGCCAACAGTGACAGATTGAGCCAAAGAAACCCTTCACTCTCCAAGTGGAATGTGCAAAACAAGTACAGACCTTCTCTGCCAGTTACACAGGAGCTTGATCCATCATTTTGCCAGGTGCCTTTTGCTTCTGCTTCATCTAAAGAGACATCCCATTATTTTTAATTTTTTCTCATTTGGTACATCTCTGCAATATGAGCTTCTAAGACCCATAGTTTTTGGAGTTATAGTCATCTGTTAATCAGTGGAAGATAAAATCAGCCAGATTTCATAAAGTGCTTAGAGTATTTTGAAATTAATTGCATTTTGCGTTTTTTGTTATTCTAGAAGACCTTTCAAAAGCTTCAGATAATCTGTGTCTTTTATCAAAATGACAAAAATTTTAGTGCTTTTCTGTGAGCTGCTGCCTTCTGACAGTGATCCAAAGGCATCTCACCCTTTGAGGAAAAAAAAATAAATCAGTTTTCCACTCCTATTTTCAATAACAAAATAAGGAGTTGAATTCCAGCTAAGCTCTGCCTCACCAATGGAAACAAAGCTACACCACCTGAGACAGATACTAATTGTCACTTCACTTATTTACATCTATTTTCTATATATTTTGTGGATTTCTATGGCAGAAATCCCATTTTTCTGGCAACCACTGAGTACTGGGGGGATGTATCAGCCTCAGTGCACCAGTGAAGGAGCAGGACTGGGATGAACCTGGAATGAACTGAGGTCTCTGTGTGGAGTCAGAAACTAACATTAAGAAAATCACATCTTCAGAAAAAGAAAACACCAAGCAGAGCAGCTGTTGCATTTTTAAACAACCCATAATCCCCACTAAATATTTCAGTTAATGAGTGTGTCTGTGATAACAAAGAGATGCAGTCTGTTAGGAAATACATATCTATTTTTAAAGGTTACCATTTATAATTGTTTAGCTTTGTGCCTCCCCCAGTTCTCCCAAGCAACTAGTTTTGAAAGACGGGGATTTTCAAATTGCTCCTTTCTACTTAAAGAAAATCCCGTGTCACAATAAAATTCCACAGTGTTTGGTTGCAGCTTCCGTGACTTTTTTCCTCATATCACAGTTTTCATTTGCCATGAAAACAAACTGGGAAGTGCCTCGGTTCCTTATCATGCACATATATGTGTGTTTAACTTCCCATAATCTCATCCACCCATCGTCTTCATTCTGCTCTGACTACAACAAACTGCTCCTCCCCTTCCCACCGCAGGGTGATGGGAGCTCACTGAGGAGGAGCTCAGATGGAACATGGCCCCAGGCAGCCCTGGGCAGAGACAAGACCCATCTCTCAGAGGAGGGAATGAGCAGATTTCAGGAGCATTTACAAACATGTTCATCTTCCCGTGGCAAGGGCTGTGAATTCACAGCCTGCTGGACAGAACCTGCCTGAAATCAGAGGATTCAGAGCTACAATTTCTCCTCGCTACAAGGAAATGCGTTGAAGAAAATGATGACTATTATTGTAACACCAGGAAACCCAATAAAAACGTGGATATCCACTACTACTGGAAACATTTATATTCTTATTAAATATTCTCCCCATTTTTATATGACATTATTTTATATTAAGGCATAAAGGACAAGATTCTTCAGTTCTCAGAGATATTAAAGCCTGGGCAGGCTCTGTGGGCACTGCACTGCTTTGCTCTTCTCTGTCACACAGGGATAGGGAAGGCATGACCTGCCCTAAAGAAAATGGATGTGAAAGGGGAAACTGAGAACACTGGTGTTGTTCTGAGCAGGGAATCCAGGAACAACACTGAACCTGTTGGTCAGATGCTCTGATTTCTGTAACTACCACGTGCCAGAGAACACAGGTGGAAGGTTCTGAGCCAGCTATTAAGGTGTAACCATGCTGGATCTCCACCACCTCCCTTCCAAAAGGACACAGTCCTTGCTGTAGGGCACAGTGTGTTCTACAGGCTGCAGATTTTCCTGCCATTTTCCAGGAGAACCGAAGGTGCCCAAATCCTTCCAGAGTTTTGGATGCTCCAATTTAAAGTCAATGGATCAGTGAGAGACAGCAAATCTGCCACAAACAAAGAAAATTCTTAATTATTCAACCACCAGTGGTTTTGCTCTAATTAAATCAGCAGTTCAATAAATAGCTACTAAAGTCTGCAACAGGTCCCAGTTCTCACAGTTTGCCTCCAGCCTCAGCTTCCATTTGTATTTCCACCCGATTACTCTCACTCAGAGATACTTAAATCTTCCTACAGATCCATAAACATTCAAAGCTCTGCAGAAGGAAAATACCATGTTTGTCACAGACGAGCTTAAGCGAGTTCCATGTAAAAAGAAACTCGGGGGTAGAAAACTCTCCTAAAAAACTAAGCACGTGCTTGTTTTATAGCAACTCATTCCAGAATCCATTGCAAGGGACAAGACCAAGATCAATATCCCATCACAGAAGATTGCCAGGGTGCCTGGTGAGGGTGAGAGCCCTGAGCTGCTGCAGGCACATGAACACAGAGACCTGTCCCTCCTGCCTCCCTCCGTGCCCAGAACCCGGCCGGGAGAGTCACACCCCTGTAGAAATCACCTCCCCATCGGTTAATTATCACACAGATCACCACAGGTGATCTTACAATCAGCACTGTCAGTCAATTATCACACAGATCATTACAGATGATCTTACAGTCAGCACTTCACGTGCCCAGCGTAGTTCAGCTCAGAAATGGGTTCGTTCTCCCCTGAGCCCCCCCTCGCTCTCCTCACCCCAGTGAGGACTCTCCTGAGAGCAGCAAACCCAGCTCAGTGCCCAGCTCAGGCAGTGCCCAGGGGAGGATTCTCTCTGGACAATCATGCAACACATGCAAACCAAGTCACATCATTGAAGAATTAAGTGTGAATTCCCTCCATTATCTCCCACCCATCAGGCTCCCAGAGTTTGCCTTCTCTCTCAGGTAGCCCTTGTGAGCTGTCCTTGGCCAAACAGAAACTGGGAGTTCTGAACTGTCTGAGCTCCTTTAGAGACCTTCAGTCTGGTTGTGTAAGAAAGATTCCCGACATTCATAAGGAGGCAACACATTCTTAAATTGTTAGTATTAAATTGCCCTGGAAAAGATACTGGAAATTCAATTATATGAGATATAAAAGATAAATTAAAAAAAACCAATCCATAACACAAGGTCACGAAGAGGAAGAAATCACTGCCTCCACTTAAAATAAAACCATATCAAACAGCTCTGTAACACAGTCATAAGAGAAAAGGCAAACATTTTCCATTACTCAAACCATTTTTCCATCTGCAAAGATCCCAAGGTTTTTGTGACCAAGCTAATCAAGTATTCAAACAGCTCCCATCTCCTCCTCAAGGTCTAAATAATCTGACTTTTGTGATTCAGAGGTAAATTCAATGTTTACAGTACTCAATTAATCTCCAGAGAGCTAACAGAGCTCAGAACGTCTCGGCTGGGCAAATGGCAAAGGAAAAAACAGAAGCTGAATATGAGCCTTGTTTGTGCCATCAGCCCTCCCTGCAGGGCCTGGGAGGTGATTCCAGGGCTGTCCCTTCCTTGGGCGGGTGTCTGGTCCCGCTTTGGGAGCAGAAGTGAACCCAGAGAGCTGAACCAGCAGCACAACCCCCCCAGCCTCCCTCTGCTCACACTTCAGAACTTGTCACCCTCACAGACACCACGAGGAACTCCTTCAAGTGACATCTTCAGCCAGGAAACTGCAGAACAGGATTTAACACATTTCCTGCTCTTCTCTTCCCAAAGACAACAGAGGGGTTTTTCTGCAGACCCCAATATTCAGACAGAATAGGCTGAGCTGGAAGGGACCCTCAAGGGTCATGGAGTCCAGCCCTCAGCCCTGCTCAGGACCACCCCAGGAGTCACAGCTGCCTGAGAGCAGTTATCCAAACTAATTCACAGCACTGCTGCACACCTGTCAAAATACTGATAAAGGTTTATGTAGGGCCATGTTTATTCCCCTTGTACCAGAGATATCCATTTGAAACACATTCAGAACATCAAACAAAGCACAGACAATAGAAAACAGAGGAATCACCATAGGAAGCACTGAAGGCATCTCCAACTCCTTCCTGCCCCAAGGTTTCAACAGTAGTGATAGGAAACTATATTAAATTATAGAATCATGGAATGGTTTGGGTGGGAAGGGACCTTAAAGTTCATCTCTTTCCACCCCCTGCCCTGGGCAGGGACACCTTCCACCAGCCCAGGTTGCTCCAAGCCCCGTCCAACCTGGCCTTGGACACTTCCAGGGATGGGGCAGCCGCAGCTTCTCTGGGCAATCTCAATTAAATTAAACCAACAGTTTTTGTTGCTAAAAAGAGAAAATGAGAAAAAGGTGATACTCAAGTTGGACTTCACAATTTTTCACCTCAAGCACTAAGAGACAAATTTAGATTTACTTTTAGCACATAATTATAGATGATGCCAAGGCTCATTCAAGCATAGTTCCCTGACAGAGTGGTCTGTGATTGTCCTGTCCCAGCCTCTGCACCAGATACACCACTGTCAGACTCAATTGTGGTTACATGAAGCAAAACAAATGCATTCAAACATGCTGCCATATTACATTAACAGATCTGAAGTTTAGTGCATCTCATCCCATTACATCTTAAACTGATTTAATTCTGTGCAATGCAACATGACAAATTAGTGAACTAAGGATAACCAGCCTGTCTACCTGATGCCTGGTTAGTTTGCAGCCGAGGATCACTGGAGGGAGAAGGGAGCACGAGCCCTCTCTGCTGACTGTCCAACAGGGCTCCTCTGTGTCCCTGCCAAGGCATCGCCCCAGGAGCTGCATTTCCCAGCACTGAGCACAGAATCTTTTAGAAGGCTACCAAGGCAAGTAGAATCATCTCCCATGTCACAGACAGGTGGTTTAGCAACAAGTCTAAAGGTACAGCCAAAGTCAAACAAAACCCCTTTGTGAACACTGTTTTCTTCTCAGCCTCCAGCCAAGGTTTTAACCACAGGATAATCCTGCATCAAATCTTTGTATTGCCAAAAATCATATGTTACAGTAGGAAAGAATTTACTCAAAACACTGTTTTGAAGACAGAAAACATTCTCTCAAATTATCAAACTGATTTCAGTGAGATCCTTCTGGCAGAGCCATGAGAAGCTGTTACTCTACAGTAAATCTGGTCTCTCAGATGAGGGAGGAGAAAGACAAGCAGCACCTCCCCCCCTCCAACTTCTGGCACTGATCTCACTCCATGCCAAACTGGGCTTGAAATTCAGAATCAAAATCTCCAGTGGCTTGGAGGCAAAAGCAGGGAGAGAGGGAAGAGGCAACTGGGCAAGAAGTTGCACTGCTGGAAAGTTATCAGTGACCTCTGAGCAAAACAGTTTCAGCAGCTTGAAGACACACTCAGGGACCTCTGATGGTTGAGCCCCTGGTGCACCAGACGTGGGTGTGAAGGTTGGCAGATTGAAGCCATTGACTTGATCAGCTTTGGGAAGGAGAACATCCCGTGTTTCAAACCCAAAAGCTGTTCCATTTTCATCTGACTGGAGCTTTAGTCTGGCTTTATCCTATGACTTGTGATCAGCATCTCAAAAATTCAATTAGAAACAAAGATAGAGCTGTAAGACAAGTACAGACACTCTCAAAGCCACAGTCTGTTCCACTTGCCTTGTTTCAGCCAACAGTTCAGGCAGTACAGAGTCAGACTACTCAAATGGGGTTTAAATCTTGCAGGCTTTGAAGGTTTTGGGTCACACCAAGAACAAGTGCAGCAGAGTGAAAGTTGTGGCAGTTTGTAATTATCTATTGGGGCTTCTCTCACAGATAATTATGAGATTCTCTCTTACAGTTCAACTAATTAACAGGACTTCCTTCATCCACTAATGCCACTGACACTCTGGCCTCCTCCTCATGGACTTGGTGCAGCAGAGGAAATCAGAAGCATCCCATTATCTCTAAATGCCTTGCAAAATCTCCAGGACTCCTGTTACTTTCATCACTGTTTTCTGCCCGCTTTGGTTCCAGGCCAAGACAGCAATTAAGTGCACACTGCTACTTAAAAGCCCAGGAATAACCCGGCTGAAATTAAACAAAACCACAAATCTAGCAAGTATAAAAGCAGAATTATAGCTTGGGCACAGCTCTATTTCATCTCAGTGCAGAGAAAGGGAGTTTCATCTCTACAGATCAAACAGCTTCAAATTCAAGGGAAGTCTGAAGCCCAGATCTAGGAGTGAACACCAGTAAAGAGGGGCTTGTTTTTTCATTTTTATGGAAGCAATTCTTTCAGTTTTATTTGCAAAACCAGGTAAACCCACAACTCAGACTTTGCTACTGGAAGACTCCTAAACATACGCGGGCACTGTGGTCTAAGGCCAGCACTGTTCTGAGTGGCCATGAGGATCCATTAAATGAAGTAACAATATTAGGGAACTCTGTTATTTTATTAGCTGTGCTGAGACAGACATGATGATCTGAGGCTGGGAGACTTATACAGACAGTATATTTTATTAGATCAATTGCTGGAACTGGGAGTGGGGAGGGAAGAGGGACAAGATCTCAGACACTCAAGCCATGAATAAGTTGTCTCTGTTCCAGCAGTCAGACTCATAAAATATATTTCCTTTCACTAGAAACCTTCCCTCTCTGGAATTTCAGCCACTGCCAATACAAAAACTTCTCCTTAAACTGACTCATGCTTTTATTTTCAATAAATTTTCTTCATTTCTGAGGAGCAGTTACACCTCAGCTGCACAAGAGCCCAGTTCCCAGGAGGCTCCTGGAGCACATCAGCCCCGTGCCTGTGGCTCCAGCACTTGGCACCCACAGCACCAGAGCTGCTCCAGCTGGATCAGCCAGAGGATGCCACGGGCACGAGGCTGCTCTCTGACCTGTGACTCCACCTCTGCCACCAGAGAAACAGGTAAATCTCTTCTGGATTTCAGGAGAGCAGCACCCAAGTCCCTCTCTCCCTGCAACTCCTGAGTTTCTTGTCTGTTCCTTCCCATCCCTGCCCTGCCAGGACACTGCCTGAGCCTGCAGTGGAACAACCTCCCCTGACAGGGCACGTGGATCTTCCATCAAAGGGTCACTCAGGAATCCCCTCTGTGACCTTGATGCAGATTTAATCTGTCACTGTACACTCAGTTTTAGCTCCACTCTTGCCTTTTTGCAGTCTGTCCTAAAAAAGTCGACGAGATATGTTTTCATTCACTCGCAGCATCTCCAGTGACCTTGGCAATAGTCTAATCTGTCTTGGCAGATTCAAGATAGAGAAAACAAGCAAGAGAGACAGACCTGCTGGGTTCTGCTATTGATCAGCCACTGGAGTGAAAGCTCATTATGAGCAGCAGGAACGTGTCAGGTATAAGTTCTCCTACAGAGCAGCAGCAGGAAGAGAAAGGCTTAAACAAAGAAGGGGTGGCTGGGCTTTGGGGTGAGGGGGAAGCACAGCCATGGGAAGGGAGGAAAGGGCAAGGTGAGAAAAAAAGAGCAGACAGCACTTCATGTCCAGTGAGGCTGTGCATCAGAAACTCACAGTGCAGTAAACTAAGTTTATTTATCTAAAAAAAACTGAAACCCAGCGTACATTGCCAAACTTTGCTACAAAAGAGGCCAAACTCTTGGGAAAATCTTGTTTCTCAGTGTATATAAGTACACTAAGATAATACTAAGATATATATATATATATACACACACACACACAGTAATGTTATTTAGGGTATTGCTTCTTCTACTCTCAGGAACTCAAACAGAACATCGAATGACACAAGAAGACTCGAATGAACTCCTGTTATTTTCCTGGCAATCAGGGTGTAATGCAGACACTTATTGGCATGAGTGCTTGAATAGCCCTGCCTCGTCTCGAGACAGCTCTTTTCTTATCTCCAGACAATTATTCCGTGCTCTCTGCTGAAGCCCAGCTCCTGTGACCTGCTGTGTCTCCTCCAGCCTCCCCAGGGCATGGGCTGGCAATCACACCACGTTCTTTGGCACTTCTATTACCCTCCTTCCCCTGATTCCTTTATGCCCCAGGATGAACAGAGACAGAGGAGACCTGCCTGTCTCTATATTTTATCAGGGGACTCAACCAACACCCTTTCACAAGAGGCTCCAAACAAACCCTGTCTGGTCACCAGGAGAGATGGCACTGAAGTCTCACCCATTGCCAAGGCTTTAACTGGGCACCAGGAGCAGCATCTGCTCCTGGGAGGGGCTGTGCCAAGGGTAAGAGCCAGAAGCAGTTCCTGGGGTCTTTCCAAACTCCCCCTCAGAGCCAAAGGCAATTGCCATGACCAGCAGGGCAGCCCAAGCTATTCCCTTGGCTCCAGTGTCAGACTCCACAGCCACACTCACATTTCCACTGGCACTGAGCTCTTCTGCCAACCATGTCTCAAGGTTGGTGAGAAAATACACCCGTGCTTTTACTGCAGGTGGCTGATCCTGCACAGAGCAAACCCCCAGCATAACTTCACATCAGTGTCAGCTGGTAAACTGAGCTGCATGAAGAGGAAAATTTCCAGCATCCAGCTGAGGAGGGGAATACCCACCAGTGAGGGATGTTCAGTGCTCACAGACCTCACAGAAACCAAGGGGGGAGCAGACAATGGAGTCATTGAAAACAACCAGGAGGAGGCACACACAGAGGGGAAATGACAGCACAGGATAAATCCCACGTGGGAGACCTGATTTCTTACACATTGCTCAGTTTTAGACACATAACCTCAGCTTATCCTGCTGTGCCTGCACAGTCTCCTTTACAGGGTGTGTCAGGTCAGACATGGGGGCTGTCCCTTCAATCACTGATCCAGATAAAAAGCGAAAAACCTCGAGACAGAAATGAGGCAGCACAAGATATCACAAGGAGAAAAATCACCCAGCACAGCTCAAGGGGTGAGTGAGCACAGGGGGTGCTGCTGACCCCTGAGTGTCACAGCTCCATCGATCCCTCAGCACTGCAGGGGGGGTGGTTCAGTGCAGCAGCTCCTCTCCTGACACCTCAGCCAGGCAGAGCATTTCCCATCCTGATGGAGAGGAGAGGGCCAGAGAGCAAACCCAGACTATTGCACTTGCTGTGTGGGAGGAACGTCCCCAACCCAGGGACTCACTCACACGTGGGAGCACGAGATGCTTCCCTGACTCCCGAGGCAATCGATCCCAGGAATCAATGAGCTCCTGCCTCATGCTGGTCATCATCACAAAAACCACTTTGCCACAGGAAGGTCTCGCTGTCATTAATACAACAGGGGTCTGCAGAGCCATGGAAGGCTTTTCAGCCTTTATTGCTCACCTCTGCCTGACAGTTTAGTGCCTGCAGTGAACCAATACAACCACTTCTGAGAAGCACAGACCTCTTACCTCCCCATCAATAGGCAGTAATAAAATGTGTCCCAGTAAGTGTGTTCAAAACACAGCAATAAATAGAGATCACAAAGAACCTGCCAGAGCAGCTCATCTCCTCGGAGCTCAACACTGTAGCAGCAATTAACTGGGGACATTTCACAGACTAGAAGTGGTTTCAAGTTCTTCAGATGGAAAAAAAAAGGACAACTCATGAAATTATTCTTTGTGGCTGCAACTTCTGATTTCTATTTATCTAGAAAAGACCTACTGACAAATCTAATTCCTGAGCTACATTAGCTGGAAAAAAAAAAAAAAAAAAAAACAAAAAAAACAAAACTAACGACATGCCTGTAAGTGCCTAATTTATGTTTCAGGTGCCAGCTTCACAGCTCTAAATGCAGAGACATCCTTATTTAGGGTGGGTACTATATTCTGTGTTGAATTAATTTTCTCACTGTTGGTTATTATACTCCTTTGAGATTTGAAGTCTCAGTTGCACAAT